TCGTTCGTCTGTGTAAATTGAGTTAGCGGTTCACAGCTGACAACAACAATTGCATACACAAAAATCGTCGTGTAAATGATGATGAGCGTTTATACACGGAAACTTTTGTCGACGCGATTTTTCACATTCCCTTTTGGTGTTGCTCATTTCATTTACACACGGCGATTTTTGTTGCCGTAACTCGACGTTTGTTGGAGAGAGCGCGACGAGGAAAGGAGAGGGGCACCGAGTTGCTCGTGCTCGGGCAACACGCTTTGTGCTCTCGTTCTTCTCAATATCGTTAAGTTGGCTGGAAATTAGTTTGACGTTTCTCTTCATTTCTTTTCTTCATTGATTTCATCTTCAATCAATATAAAGCGTGGAATTTAACCATTACAAAAGTTAAATGAAAATATTTTTATGCTATCTTTTACGTAAATTAACATATGCATATACATATGTATATCACTAATATTTCAGTAAAGATGGAATACCACCAAAAAGTCGATTTACTGAAAAATGTTTTTGAGTGCGTTGCGGAAGCCGTAGAAATGGATTCGGAAGATAGCGATAAGGCTGACGCCCTAACAGGTTCTATATAGGATTTTAGTCATTAAATTAATTACTAAATGGTAAGTTCTTTTGCAGGACTAGTTGGTATGTGCCAAAAAATAATATCTACGCCAGTACCAAGGAAACGAAAGGCGATGTGGGTAAAGGTATGGAGGGAAAAAAAAGCTGAGAATGGGTCTTTCGTATTTTTAACAAAAGATCTATTGCTCCATGACAAAGAGGGCTACAAAAACTATTTGCGGATGACCGAATCGCAGTTTAATCTTCTGCTTTCATACATAGAGCAAGATTTGGTGAAGCAGGATACTCAAATGAGAGATGCAATTACGCCTGCAGAAAAGCTGTGTTTGACGTTGCGATTTCTTGCCACTGGTAAGCTGTAATAGGGCATCATGATCCCTTAGTATGTATGTATTTAATAACCATATAAGCGAATCACTTTTACAGGAGAAACATATCAAAGCTTAAGCTTTCATTCGAAATTGTCAAAATCGGCAATAAGTGGCATAATCCCGGTAGTGTGTGACTCTATTTGGCGTAGACTAAAAGGCTTACATATGAAGGTATCAATTTTAAATAAATATTTTGGCATGTAGCGCAGTATCAATTGTTGTATACTTAGTTTCCCAACAGTCCTTCTGAATGGGAGTCGATAGCGTACGAATTTGCTATTAAATGGCAATTCCCAAATTGCATCGGTGCTTTAGATGGCAAGCACATCACCTTCCGACCGCGTCGCAAAGATGGAGCATTCTACCATAATTATAAAGGAACGAACAGCATTGTTTTATTAGCGCTCGTCGATGTGAACTGTAAATTCATTTTTGTCGACATCGGATGCAATGGATGCAATAACGATGCGGGCGTATTTTTGCAAAGCAAGCTCTCCACATTTTTACGTGAAGAAAGAGGAATACCCAAGAATGCTACCATCGGTAACAACCGGAGTCTTCCGTTCGTTGTTGTTAGCGATGATGCTTTTCCCACGCAGAAGCACTTAATGAAGCCGTACCCTTATCACTCTAACTGCCGTGATAAGCAAGTTTTCAATTCCCGACTTTCACGCGCCAGGCATGTTGTTGAGCACGCGTTTGGCATTTTGGCTAACAGATTTCGCATCTTTCTCGCTCCGATGAATTTGAAAGTCGAAACAGTAGAAAATGTTACCTTCGCATGCTGCGTTCTACACAATTTTTTAACTTCAAATAGTACATTGTCTAATGTAAATAATGGTAGAGCCGAGAGAGTTACTGCAGCTTCAAGTCAATACAATCCGCGAAGGGGAGAAGCAGAAGCTATTCGGCAGGAGTTCATGGCATATTTTAACAATGAAGGCAGGCTAAATTGGTCACAAAATGTATAAACAAATTTTACAAAGAAAAAATCTTGAGTTCCTTTGAATTAGAGTTATTAAAATTATCGTCATAAAAGAACTTGATAACTTACGGATTTTTTCTTGGATATAAAGGCATGATATTTTATAAATACATTAATACGTTAAGATTTTTATGAAAGCCTTTTGTATGTATTTTTACCCAAGTGCCTATAATTTTCACATTTATGTATTATTCAATTTAGATAAGGTGTCTTAATGTATTTATAAAATATCATGCCTTTACATCCAAGAAAAAATCCGTAAGTTGTCGATAAATCAATGTGTAGCTCCTAATCCATTAATCCGGTTCGAATATGTTTTTGACTTGGATGATGGAAAATTTAATGAACTTCATTTATGTAAAAGAAAAATTTCAGATTGGCCAACTATGTCCAAAAATTTGTACTTGAGTGAAACTTGTATTTTTATTAATAAAACAGAATTATTAAAGTAACAGAAATTTCATCTATATGTACACCCCTGGTCATAGTAATAGGTACACGATATTTTTACGAGTTTTGACAATTTTGGTTGTTTATTGTTTATTAACTTTTTATAAAAGTCTAACTCAGATAATCAGTACAATGGCTGGCGATGGCCGTATCGTCACTTTTACTGCCGATGACAATATTCAGCATAGGCCGAAAGATAATTCTTATATAAATCTGATTGGCAGTCTTACAGTTTTAAATGTCAATGCAAAAATTTGTACTGTGGATTAACCGCATACATATAATCATAAACAAACTAATAGATATGGGAAATTTTGTCCAGTTTTGACTATTTTTATTTGGCAATAAAAGCTAAAAATCCACGCCTAACCTCGGTTATTATCAAATTCGCACTGCAAATTTGCATACCAAAAATGATTCTTGAAAATCTTATAAAAAAATTTGCAGTTTTCAAGACACTTGGTTGAAATTTTCTTATTTTCGTACAGTTTCAAATTTTGGGTGGTCTTTGTAAAATAATGAGCGATACTTTTATATTAAAAATATACGATATTAAAAAAAGCCAAATAAAAATAGTCAAAATGTCCCATACCTATTATTTTGTTGATGAGTGTACATACGTGGTTTAACTTAAACAAAAGTTCCTTTTTTTAGCAGATGCTATTATAATAAGTCACAATTATTCACAATCTGTATCGTCAAAAAGTCCTTCCATGGCATTTTGCAACAGATCAGAAGATTTCGATGTTGATGTTGACGATGTGCAGTTTTTCGATCTTTGCACCAACTGCCGCATAAGGCACTGAACTTCCCATGCAGCATCGTTTTGTTGTTCTGGCTTTATGTCATCAATTTGAGCTGATACCAGACTGCCTAGCCATGCCTTTCAGATATTTTGCCTTTAAACGAGGACAAATCCTTTTGCAATTGGCAAAATACATTATCTTTCTAAAATGGAGATGAGTCAAAAGTTATAAATCATTAAAATTTAAATGAACAATAAACATACATAGATATACTGCATACATACCTTTGCTCGTTTTCTCCGCGGCTCCACGATCAGGTTGTAGTCATCAGTGGTCTGACTATCGTTATGTGAACTGCACTCCGGGCTCTGCGGTGGAGAGTCCACATCCTTATAAATTAAATAATTTTATTTAGAAAATTATGGACGAATTCGCGAGTAAATTTACCTCGTAATTACTTTTTCCTTCCCTAATTTTGGTGTGGGATTCAAGGAATTGCAGCTGTGAAAAGCACCATAATTTTGGCGTGGATACGTCACATATACCGGAGCCACTTTTCTTAGATGCCTGCACCTCTCGTACATCCCTTAAAAACTGCGTTCTTAAATTCTTCCATTTTTTCTTTACTTCAGCCACATTCATTTCACCCATCTCCAACTGCATTTCATCACAAATTTTGTTGAACGCTTGGGCCTTCATATCGCGGTTTAAATAATCCGCCGATCTAATATTGTATATGCAATCATTTTGCTGAACTAAATTTATTAGTTTTTCCACTTGTGAATGACTCCATTTGCATTTTCCCGACATATTTTCTGTTTTAAGTACTTCAATTTGTGTTAAAATTTTCAATCGCAAAAGAATTGCGAAAACAAAATGAAAGGGAATGTGAAAAATCGAGGCGACAAGAGTTTTCGTGTATAAACGCAGTCTTTTGAGTAGGAATTTTCGATATCGATCGATTATTCTGAATATAAATATTTCATGGCACGACAATCGACTTTTTGAATCGATATTCCAAGGTCAATATATCGTAGACATCGATACTTTACCCGCAATATTGATATTTAAATTGAAATTAATTTTTGATCCACAAAAAATGTATGGGAAAATACTAAAGTAGGTTTAATCACAAGTAGGAATTTTCGATATTTAAGAAAATATCGATATCATGAATCGATTTAATTCATTGCATATAAAATATTGCATGGCGATATATCGCGCTGAATAATATCGATGTCGGAAAAATTGATGTTGAAAATCCCCTTCGAAATTGAATAGAACATTTTCTGAGGATTAAAACCGCATGCCGGTCGACTCAAATGGTTTGTCAAACTTAAGAGCTAAATAGATCACACAAGCTGCTGATTAAACCTACTTTAGTATTTTCCCGTACACTTTTTGAAGATGAAAAATAAAATTCAACTTATATATCGATATTGCGGGTAAAGTATCGATATCTCCAATATATCGATCTTAGAATATCGATTCAAAAAATCTATTATCGTCCCATGAAATATCGATATTGAGAATAATCGATACGATATCGAACATTCCTACTTGTGAGTAGTATCGTCAAGCCGTGGGTAATAGCGCAATTTATTGGTGCTAGTTCCATAACGCCAGCGCCACCTGTGCGTCAGCGCACTAATTCAGTGCGATATCGCAGTGAACTAAATTGAACACGGCGCCATCTGAGCGTCACCACAGTACCCGTCATCATACAGGGTAGTACACCATACAGTGGTGTCATGTCTATTATCTATATATTATTCTGAAACAAGGCGCTTATTCCCAGCGATCTACAAATCGTAAAGAGACATATTATATATCAAATTAAAGTGCCCGATCTGAAACTTTGCACAAACTTTTCAGATTTAAGATTCATTGAACCATTTTGGAAATATTTGCGTCGAAATATTTTAAAATGTTTACATTGAGCAAAGCATTGCTACGTTCATTTCGAGAGGCAGCGCCTCAGCGGGACATATGAGAAAGGAAAATTGTTCCATTTATTCGCTTTCGTCTCTGCTTTTGTTTCATATCGATCAAAGCAATGCTACGTTCGTGCGCATGTAGGCAGCGCTGCAGCGGAAGATCTGCAAAGATAATGTTCCCTTCGTCTCTGTACATACACAAAATTGTTGCATATACATACATTCATTCATACACATTTGTTAAGGCACAAGTGCCAAACTATCAACAACAATATTGCTTCGTTCGTGTTCATATACGCAGCGCTACAGCGGGACATAGAATGAAAAATTGTTCCATTTATTCGCTTTCGTCTCTGTTTTTGTTTCATGTCGAGCAAAGCATTGCTATGTTCATATGCATGTAGGCAGCGATACAGCCGAAGATCTGAAAAAAAGATGATGCTTTTGGCTTTGTACATACACCCATATGTGCATCTTTCATGGTTTCTTTTAACGTTTTTTTTTTCTAACGAGAAATATGGATCTATATTACAAACATATACATGTCTTTCTCCCTTTTCTATAAGTTTTGATTGAAAGGTAGTAAAGAAATTCCAACGATAGGAATAACAGTGGCTCTAAAACTGCAAATGGGCACAAACATACATAAGTACTTTACGTTACAGTTATTTGCGAGCTCTGGTATGTATGTATGTACATATGTGTCAAGGCAAAAATGCGAAAACTATCGGCAACAATATTTGTTTTGTTCTGTTCGTGCTATTTGCAACAAGCAATTTTAGAAATTTTGATTTTCCAAACCATAAAAGATACAATAAACGTTTATAAAATGTCAGGTGAAAGGTGTATAAGGCGAAAGCGAAGTTTAGCAAGTCGAAGAGAAGAGGTGACTTTTATTTAAAAAAATGGAACTTTAGGGCTAATGTATTTGTGTACATACATATATGTTTGTATGTATGTATATATATTCACGTTCTGATGCAGAGCCGCAGGCACGTATCTTCTATGGCAAGTTCTTTCAAAGCAGCCTTAAACCCTGTAGTTCTTCCGGAATATAGTTCACTTGGGGGCTTAACAAGTACATGCTTGCAGTGCAAAGCAAACCATTTCAGCATTGAAAAGGAAAGTCTATACCTTTTATTGTTTCATAACTTATAGTCTTAACACGTATTTGAAATTGCTACATTTAGGTAAGAAATGGCTTTACGACATGTTGTCACGCTGGAAAAGTCAAATTTCCAGCATTACGTGTACCTGAGTTTTTAAAATCTGTGTTTGAAAACGATTTGAGCTCTTGGCGCCGACATTACTTGGAGCACATACGGCAACTAAACAGTTCGTTTGCTTTTGCATCATTCGAAGCGAAAATTGCAGAGCCAACAGGACGTGGACCATATTGCTTCCGAATACATGGATCCATATATCATAGGGTGGGTCCATTGCATGCAGATAATCCCGCCGAATCATCCTACGCTCAGCTGTATATTCTTGACACGGATCAAGCAATTGATATTAGGGCGCAACACAACTCAAGTTGCGACAAGTCTTTACTGAAAGAAATTCATGAAATGCTTTCGAACATTAACCCCTTGGCCCGTGAGTATAAGCATATGGCGCAGGTAGAACGTGAAGAAGAGCAGAGAGCAAGAGAAGAAAATCCAGGACGGCATCAGGTTAGCATGCTACTTTTTAACAGCGTTAGTGACCGACGTTATAACTTGCCAAACTGCTCCGAAATTGCGGCGTTTTTTACAACGGAAGATGGTGAGCCACCTGCAACTTATCATTTGTGTCAACGCTACACAGATTATGTGATCCTTTAGTTTATCCCCTTTTGTTTCCATATGGCGAGCCTGGATATGATGAAACTCTCCTGCATGAACAAGATCAACGAACGGAGCATAGATTTAAATTAACACAACTGCAGTTTGTTTCTTATCGCATGGCGATTAGAGAAGGTTTTAGTTTGCTTCGTGTCTCAGGTAAACTTTGGCAACAGTATTTGGTTGACCAATACGTCAGAATTGAAGGAGCACGTCTGGCCTTTCTGTGCANGTCAACGAACGGAGCATTGATTTAAATTAACACAACTGCAGTTTGTTTCTTATCGCATGGCGATTAGAGAAGGTTTTAGTTTGCTTCGAGTCTCAGGTAAACTTTGGCAACAGTATTTGGTTGACCAATACGTCAGAATTGAAGGAGCACGTCTGGCCTTTCTGTGCACCCATCAGAAAGAACTACGTGTTGAAACATATGCTGGTTTGCATGATTATTTAATACGTAGATCCAATATTGAAAATG